CTGTTATTTGTACGTAGTACTAACATCCCATACATTTGTCTCTTAGGAGTTCTGAAAGAGAATTTATCTACTGTAGCCAAATCAATATTATAACAAAGGCATGCTGTATGGCGGTGGTGGGGGGTGGGGTGGGGATAAATTTCTGGATTCAGTGATTAAAGAAAACAAGGACTAGGGAGTAAACGGTCTGGTAGAAATTCACTGAGAGCAGAGACTATGTGCTGGTCTGATGTGCAGGTGCGATACTTACAAACAAAAGTGGGCAGGGGGCAGTGATGGAAAAATTAAAACTACAGATGGCAGCTATCTTCAAGCAGAATCTACACAAACCTGGAAGTTCTCACAGCAGAGTCACAGCATTCTGCAAAATTAAGTAAACACTGAGAAGTATATTTGTATTATCTGGAGTTACCAAAGGAACTAAAGATGGAAACTCAGGGGCGTGGACAAAGGAAGGAAAAGGTATTGTCAATTTTTCAACCTAATCTCTTCGGTACTACTTTACCATTTTATTTATTACCAAATGCAGGTATTCAATTTTTAAGACCAAAAATTTTAATTAAGGATGAAAGAAAATGACATTGTTCGATCTCCTTATACACACAGTAGATCTGTTTCTAATCTGAAAAACATTCGAAAACAGTGTTCATACAATCCCATGACAATAGAATATAATAACAATGATAGTAAGAAATGTTGATACAGGCACAGAACAAAATCTGTAGGCTCATTTTTTTTTTACTTAAAAAAATTTTTTTTTAACATTTATTTATTGCTGAGAGACAGAGAGACAGAACACTAGCAGGGGAGGGGCAGAGAGAGAGGGAGACACAGAACCTGAAGCATTCTCCAGCTCTGAGCTGTCAGCACAGAGCCTGATGCAGGGCTTGAACCCACAAACCGTGAGATCATGACTTGAACTGAAGTCGTATGCTTAATGGACTGAGCCACCCTGGGCGCCCCTGTAGGCTCACATTTCAAACTCCTATACCAAATTATCTTATGGGTTAATGGGGCGGGAGCAGGGGGTAGGGGAACAGCAAGTAACTTTCACTTTCTATACCAAGTAATACTGTAACTTTAAAATTGAATATACCCTGGGGTGCCTGGGTGGCTCAGTTGGTTAAGCATCCGAGTTCGGGACATGATCTCATAGTTCATGAGTTTGAGCCCTGTGTCGGGCTCCGTGCTGACAGCTCAGAGCGTGTTTCGGATTCTGTGTCTCCCTCTCTCTCTGCCCCTTCCCTGCTCATGCTCTGTCTCTCTCTCTTTAAAATAAACATTAAAAAAATAAAAATATTCTATAAAATTGAATATATATTACTTTTGTCAGGGATCCTAAAGATAAAGAATATAAACTAAAACACGTACGCCTAGAAAAGTAACTGAGAAACAAAATCAGAGTAAAAGATTAGTATCAGTATTTCTGAGAGAAAGAAAGAATGGGCAGGTTATTTTTTCCCTTCATGTTTTTCTGGGTTTTGCCCCAAATATCATACAAACCACCTATATTCCTTTATAATGGAGAACTTGTATTTTTTACAAACGATTTTTAAGAATATCCTCAGATGAGAATCTTCTAGTATAGGCATGTTGACCCACCACTTCCTTAAAAGTATCCAGCTTTATGGAATATCAACATATAAATATTTCATCAATTCTAAGGCCTACATATTAACATCTCTGAAATCAAGATGCATCTTACAATCAGCCAGTGACTGTTGGGATACAGTTGTCATTGCCTGGATGCGTGTGGCGATCAAAAGTACCAGCACTAGGGGTGCCTGGGTGGCTCAGTGGGTTGAACGTCCCACTCTTTTTTTTTTTTAATTTTTTAAAATGTTTATCTATTTTTGAAGAAAAGAGAGACAGGATGTGAGTGGGGGAGGAGCAGAGAGCAAGGGAGACACAGAACCCAAAGCAGGCTCCAGGCTCTGAACTGTCAGCACAGAGCCCGATGCAGGGCTCGAACCCACAAACTGTGAGATCATGACCTGAGCCGAAGTCAGACGCTTAACTGACTGAGCCTCCCAGGGGCCCCAAGCATCCCACTCTTGATTTCAGCTCAGGCCATGATCTCCTGGTTCGTGGAATCAAGCCCAGTGATGGGCTCCTTGCTGGGTGTGGAGCCGGCTTGGGGTTCTCTCTCTCCCTCTCTCTCTGCCCCTCCCTCGCTCATACATGTGCTAAATAAATATTTTAAAAAATTAAAACATTAAAAAAAAAAGCACCAGTAGTAAAACTTAGACAACAAGGTAAACACAGAACTATCATATGACCCAGCAATTACACTCCTGGGTATATACCCAAAGGAATTGTTAGCGGGGGCTCAAATACATACTTGTACACCCATGTTCACTGGAGCATTATTCACAATAGCCAGAAGGTGGAAAGAGCCCAGGTATCTATCAACTGATTAACGGATTAACGAATTACAGCATACCCGTGCAATGAAGTGGTATTCAGTCATACCATGGAAGGAAACTCTGACACACAGACATGAATGAACCTTGAACATTATGCTAAGTTGAAAGAAGCCAGACACAAAAAGACAAAATACTATATGATTCCACTATTTTTTTAAGTCCATTCATTTTGAGAGCGCATGAGTGCACATATGCACGAGCAGGGAAGGGACAGAGAGAGAGGGAGAGAGAATTGCAGGCAGGATCTGCACTGTCAGCACGGAGCCCAATGTGGGGCTCAATCCCAAGAACTACGAAATCACGACCTGAGCCGAAACCAAGAGACAGACGCTTAACCGACTGAGCCGCGCAGGTGCCCCTGTATGATCCCACTTTTACGAAATATCTACAGCAGGCAAATGCATTGAGGAAGTAAATGAGAGGTTACCACGAAGCTGAGAAAAGTGGAGATGAGCAGTTATGACTTCATGGTCACAGAGCTTCTGTTTGGGATGATTAAAAAAAAAGTTTGTAAATACACAGTGGTGACATTATGAATGTAGTTAATGCCACTGAATTGTATAGTTAAAAACGGTTAAAATGGTAAATTGTTAGATATTTTACCACAATTTGTAAAAATTACTAATGTAACACACCAAAACCCACTGGATGGGTAAACTGTATGAAATGTGAGTTGTATCTCAATAAAGTGGTTTCTAAAACTTGGGGAGCTAAGAATAGCCCATCCTTCTGAAAAAGTGTCAGTGTCAACACTATGGCACAGCACGTGGAAATATACAAATATCGGTGATTCTGTGCCAAACGGTTGAGGAGAGATGGACACTGAATATGAAGATACCTTAGGAATCCTTTCATCTCTCCTGCTTTTTCTCTTTAATGATAACGCACAAGAACACTACACGATAAAAATCTATATTTCAATGAGCTACCTGTTCGAGACTGTAAAATAAAAATGTCAGATCATAAGAAAGCCACGTCACTGTTTGACTCTCAGCATTTTGCTCATCGAGGGGCACCTGTAACGGCGCGTCTCGCAATCAGTGTGCACACGCCACTCACAGCGCCATGTACATATGGGCCCGCGTGCACACACACATGGGCCCTTTCCCTAAGCAACCTGTGAAATCAAACATACATTTGCATTCCCAAACAGTAATTTCTGAAAATAAAAAAGCACCAGGAAGACTATGTGAAATGAATACCATTTGGCCAAATTCCGTGTTGGCTGTTGCAAGCACTCAAAGAAGGCACTGGCTTCACATGGAGGTATGACACAGCAGAAATCTAATACAGATATAATGTCTATTACTCATTTGGAGCCATGACTCAGAGTATTTTAAAAATACATATGGAAACCAGAGTCTTTTCATAACTAGACTACAAACGAGAAACTCGTGCCAAGACGTGACAAACACAAATCTTACTTAAAAAGCTTCACAGATTTGAATCTCCCATTTAAAACACAAACTATTTTATCAATGCTTTGATGTAATCCTGAAATTGCAGGAGCCACAGAGTTTAAAAGCCCAGGAACATTTTTCTGGTTTTGATGATGCTAATCACCTGTCCAATTAATGGTCAATGATCACTGCAGGACATATACAAGTTCAGGAAAACCCACGTATTGATGGAGGTGATAATCAGGGTCTCTTGTTGCATAGAAAAAGCAATTTGCAGTGGATACACCTGGACGCAACTTTTCAGCTGGAAGAAAAGTACTGCAAAACTTTCCATTTTTACAATAACTTAATCATTTGGGTCACTATAGAAGTGACGGATGCTCATCAGAAATCAGAGTAAACAATAAAAGCGCACCATAATCTCACCACCTAGCTCTAACTTCAATTCCTGTTGTCACGTGGAGCCTTTCTGTGTAGGTCGGAGAGCGAGCGATGAAGTGCCCAAGGGCCCAGCTGTGGGCCGGACTTACAGATTCAAGTCCGACCTCTTCTACTCACTGGCCGAGTGACCATGGGCCAACTAGGCAACAGTTCTGTGCCTGTCTGTCAAGTAAGAATAACAGAAGCTCCTTCATCAAGTTTTTAAATATAACGATCCCACACATACAGTTTTGCTACCTGCTTTTTCGCTTTATAAAAAAAAGCGTGAACCAGTTTCCATGTCATTAAATACCCTTTATGTTTAAGGGCCACAATGCATTCCATTACACAGTTGTTCCACAATGCACTCTGACCCTCAGAGCCAGGCATTTAACCATTCCCAGTATGTCTGCTATTCCAACAGGCCTTTACATGAGACCAGGAATGGCTGGGAGGTAGACGTCCTAAATCTCAGGGACAGAGACCCTATGCACACACAGACCAGGCCATTAGCCTAGGAGATGGCCTTTGTGCCTCCCGGCCACCTGAGCCACCTTAGGCTTCTCACCTTTGGTGCCCAGCCTCCTGGCCATTCGTGAGTCCCCAACAGTCTTGCAATAAATTCTCTTATGCTTAAATTAGCCAAAGTCCGTTTCTGTTACTTGTCACCAAAGCGCTTTCCTGATACACACGATAACATTCTCTCCCATAATATTCCATTACACACACACAAATAATGACGCCACCAACCAACCTCTCCAAGTCAGCTGTGTCCCAGAAAGGAGTAGGTAAAACCAGACAGCTCTAGGGCAAAGCACCGAAGTTCTCTGAAAGATAGACATTTTTATCCCAGTGAAAATTCTGCTCTGAGAGTCTTCATGCACTTATAGGCCTGGGATGCTACAATTAATTACACAGAGTATATAATCTATAAAAAGACCAATCCAATCTTTCTCAGAGGAAAAAAAAATCAAATTGCAAATAACTATTACTACTAATAACTAGTAATATTTATATACTGTTGTAAATACCTTACCTGCTAGTCATTTAATCGTGGCAATAAATTTGTAAGCACTATTGTTATCCCCATGTTATACACAAGGAAAGTGAGGCATCAGAGAGACTGAGTAACTTGCCCGAGGTCACACAGCTATTCAGGATTTGAACCCAGGCAATCCAGCTTCAAAACCTATGTTTTCAACCACCATATATACTGCTTCTTGATTTTTGTCTCATAACGACAGATTTTTAAATTATGATCACATATTACATCTTCATTATTATGTGTCAGAGTTGGATGTAAATGGCAAAGGGAGATTTCCCACATAGATGAACTCCAGTAAGTACTTCATCTTCTACCATGGCTTCTCCTGCTAAGACTATGTATGATCCCAGTACCTAAAACAATCTATGGGGCGTGTGGGTGGCTCAGTCGGTTAAGCATCCGACTTCAGCTCAGGTCATGATCTCATGGTCCGTGGGTTCAAGCCCTGCATCAGGCTCTGTGCTGACAGCTCGGAGCCTGAAGCCTGCTTCAGATTCTGTGTCTCCCTCTCTCTCCGCCCCTCCCCCAATCGCATTCTGTCTCCCTCTCTCTCAAAAATAAATAAAAAAACATTAAAAAAATAAAAATAAACAAAACAACCTATCATTCCCCTTCCTCCCCGAACAAATGCCAAGTGCTGTTCCGTTTCTAAGCCTTCCCTCAAGCGGTTTCCATTATTTAAAACACCCTCCGAACCCAACACCCACCTGCCTATTCCCATCCAGGAACGAAATGGCAATCTCAAATGCCACAATCCCCACACACCTCCCTCAAGCCTATCCAGATGGAATGAATCCGCCTGCCCCCATAGTCCTGTGATTCTGTTTACCTCCAGTAGAGCATGCATTACAATCTGCTAGTTTTTTCTCCCCATCCATCCCTTCCCAATGTAAGGTTCTAGAAAGCAGAGACTACAGGGGTGCCTGGGTGGCGCAGTCGGTTAAGCGTCCGACTTCAGCCAGGTCACAATCTCGCGGTCCGTGAGTTCGAGCCCCGCATCAGGCTCTGGGCTGAAGGCTCAGAACCTGGAGCCTGTTTCCGATTCCGTGTCTCCCTCTCTCTCTGCCCCTCCCCCGTTCATGCTCTGTCTCTCTCTGTCCCCCCAAAAATAAATAAAAACGTTAAAAAAAAAAAAAAAGAAAAGAAAGCAGAGACTACATGTGATAAATTCTCTTCTTTTACTTGGTACCCTCCACCGTACAGAAAAAAGTTATCGCAAGAAGTAGTTGCTCCATTAATGATGACTGAGCTTAAGGGAAGCAGGCTGTGGAAATCTATCGAGAGAGACTATCCCAAAGAAGCAAAAAGGAAAATATCAAAGAACTAGAAAAATTTAGCTTATCATTAAGCTACTCTAAATCCCTGTAAATAGAAATCTCAACACCTATCATTAAGAGACACTATCATTTGTGGAATTTTAACATGTATCTCAATAGGTCCTTTTATGGTCTGAATGTGCACACTGTGGGAAACGAACAAGGAAATTTTTTGGAAAACTATTTAAAACATTTGGTAAATACTGGGAACACAAGGTCATATGAACCACAAAGAAAAAGTCAAAACTCTGGCCACCACCATAGTAAGCAGTGAGGGTTATAACTGCAGGCAAACCAGACAGGTGGTCTGCTCTCACTTTAAGAAACCCATTGCCAGGGTGCCAAGGTAGCTCAGTCGGTTGAGCATCCGACTCTTTTTTTTTTCTTTTTTTTTTTTTTTTTTAAACGTTTATTTATTTTGGGGACAGAGAGAGACAGAGCATGAACAGGGGAGGGGCAGAGAGAGAGGGAGACACAGAATCGGAAACAGGCTCCAGGCTCCGAGCCATCAGCCCAGAGCCCGACGCGGGGCTCGAACTCACGGACCGCGAGATCGTGACCTGGCTGAAGTTGGACGCTTAACCGACTGCGCCACCCAGGCGCCCCGAGCATCCGACTCTTGATTGTGGCTCAGGTCATCGGATCGAGCCCCACATCGGGCTCTGCGCTGACAGCATGGACTGCTTGGGCCTCTCTCTCTCCCTCTTTCACTCTGTCCCACTCTCTCTCTGCCCCTACCCAGCTCATGCTCTCTTTCTCAAAATAGAATCCCATTGCCTTCTGTATCTCTTATCTTCCTTCTTTGGTTTTCCTCAAGTCATTTATGGATTAAATCAAAGCTAAGAAGCTCTTTGCATTTTCTGAATTACTGCTCATTCCTACAGTGAAGATGAAATATTCCCTTTGAGTTTTTCCCATATTGGAAAAGTAAATGTGGAAAATGGCAGGAAGAAATCCAAATAATTGTAATTATTAACCAAATGGAACTAACGTACTATTACCGTTGATTCTACGACAAGTTTTGGGGAAAACAAGATTCCTGCATCAACAAAGACAACTCCCTGCCCACACCACCTGTGGATCAAACACAGAAGGAGCCCTCCTGTGCCATCTGTAGGAAGGGGTAGAAATGAAATCCACTCTTACCACCTGACACATGAAGTCCTCTGCCACCATGAGGAACCCTCGCCAGAAGGAGCATCTGAAAGAATGCATTCTTTTCAGAAAACTAAAGCCTCGCTTTTATTATTTTTTGTAAAGATTTTCCTCTTAAGCAAACTCTACACCCAAAGTGGGGCTCAAACTTACAACCCCAAGGTCAAGAGTTGCAATAAACTTTTAAGTTTACTGCTCTACTGACTGAGCCAGCCAGGCACCCGTCACCTCTCACCCCCAAAATAAAACCCACCTTGAGGTCTTTCTGATTGGACTTGGTTGATTCCTTCCGATTCACACTTATTAGGAGTTCCTGGAAATCCCTTGCGTATAAGACAACTAAAAACAGGAAAACAACTATCTTCAAACTCAGAGAAAGTTGCATACACATGACCTCCAACAGTTTCCACCGGAGATGATCTTTCTGTTCGATTTGCGAGACTGCCTGTGCCAAATAGCATACAGTTATAGGAAGCAAGCAATATTAAGCTGGTCCCAGCCTTTCCAAAGCCAATTCCAAAGTGGCACCAAACGGTATTCCCAGAGAAAAGAGGTTACCCTTAATGAAATCGCACTTGTTCTTTTGAGTATTAGTAACAACACCGGGGTAGTGAGACACATGACTGTCCACCTCAACAGCAAATTTATTTGCACTTATCTACACCTGGCCCAGAAAATATGTGACAAATATCCTGAAAGAGTGAAAAAGGAGGAAAACTGAGGTTGTCACTCTAATTTGCCTGAGAACACTTTCAAAATTGTTCTTAAAAAAAAAAAAAAAAAAAGGATTCATAATAGACATGTCTAAACTCACTTAAAAAGTTTTAAGAAAATCCCATGAAAATGTGTGAAAGGCACTAACAACAGAGCTACTCAAACCACAGTGAAAGTCAAACCCTGCTCACAACCTAAAGAACACTTGGCCATTGTTGCTGTGTGGAGTCTCAACAGCTGGTCCATACCAGGCATTCCCTGTTACACCCTTGCACTCAAGACTTTCAATTTGTTTTTTAATATAACTTATTGTCAAATTGGCTTACATACAACACCCAGCGCTCATCCCAACAAGGACTTTCAATCTTTAAAAGATTAATAGGATCTCTCATCTTGAAAAGAAGCATTCTTTTAATAAAGAATAACAACACCAGGATGCTTGGGTGGCTCCGTTGGTTAAGCATCCACCTCCTGATTTCGGCTCAGGTCATGAACTCACAGCTGGTGAATTCGAGCCCCGTATCGGGCTCTGCACTGACAGCACAGAGCCTACTTGGGATTCTCTGTCTCCCTCTTTTTCTGTCCCTCCTCCCCACCTCAATAAATAAATAAATGAACATTAAAAAGGGGGAGGGTTCTTGGGTGGGTCAGTGGGTTAATCTTGATCTCAGTTCAGGTTCATGATCTCTTGATCTTGGTTCAGGTTCATGATCTCATGGTTCGTGAGTTCTAGCCCCACGTCGGGCTCTGAGCCTGATTGGGATTTTCTCTCTCCCTCTTTTTAGAGATGTGCACGTGCCTGGAGGTATGTGTGCACATCCTGTGAAAGCACATATGTTAAATAAAGATCCTTATATGTTATGTCTATGCAACTACATATGCAGTCACAGGCCCCTCTTGTTAACCTCAACCCCAGACTTAACTCTCTCTCTGTATGACTTCCCCACATGGTGACCAATGAATGACACAGCTAACATCTCAGAGGTTAAGTTTTCAAATTTCCTAGAATAGAACTATACCAGAGAAGATGGCTTAAACATCAGTCAGATGGGTAAGTTTCATATCCAGTGACCGTATCAACCAAACTAGGGCACGTTTTAGAAAAAGAAAGGGTACTATTACTGATTATGCCAGGACAGCAGGTTTAAAACAGAATTGTTCCAGACAGAAACAAAAAATACAGTTACCCTAGAATATGCCCACCAGATGAAATTTTTTTCCACTTCCAAGAGACATTTCTACTGTTCTACAGATGCCAAAACATGCAATAAATCACCTTCTCTTAGGCAGGCTATTTGATAATGGCAGATAAATTGGAACCTGGGGGAAAAGGAAGGCAAGACATGCCTAAGTCTTGAAACATGTTGTCCAATAGACTAATGCAGAAATTGATAGCATTCCTGCTCATCCAAGATTTGAAAAGGACACAGAAGCATTGTCCATTAGATGCACATCACTTTCCAGAGTCATTTTTTCAATTTAATCACTAAAGACACAACTGTAAGCCTAAAGTAATATACACAGCTTAAATCAAGAGAGATGGTTACCAAGAACCATGGGTGGGATTCTCAATCTACAAGATTAACCAACCTGTGTTGTGGAGAGATTAATTTCTTCTAATTGATATTAAGAACCTAATTTCACTTAATTCTAAGAAGTTGGAAATCAGTCTGCACCCTTGGAAATAAGATGTTAAGGGAATCAGATGATTTTTTTAAACGTTTATTTATTT